TCCTTCTTCTTTTGGTTTTCCAATTATGCATATGCTACATTTTTTGAAATTGTCCCAGTTTTTTTTGATATTCTGCCCATTTTTTTTCCATTCTGTTATTTCTTTGCTTTCTACTCAGTGAGGTTTCTGTTGATGTATTTCCATGTCCACTGTTCCTTTCCTCGACCACGTCCAGTCTACTGAGGAGCCTGTCAAAGGTGTTCTTCATTCTGTGACAGGTTTTTATCTCTAACACTTACTGTTGGTTCTTTCTCAGAGTCTCCACCTCTCTGCTTACATGACCCACCTATAACCCTTCTGTTCTTGCCTGTTGTCTACTCTTCCATTAGAGCCCACAGAACACATTAAGTCTCTCTGTGGACCTGTGTCCTCCACAAATGCTTCACAACTTCCACCCCATTTAGGTGGAACAGGAAGGCTGGGAGTGGGGGTTCAGTCAGAAAAATACTATTACCCCAAATGGGATAAGTCTTTCCCCTGGGGAACAAATTCTCCATTTGTTATCGAGCATGCTCTGGTTATATATCACAATGGTTAGTCCCCTCACTAAGCCAACGGGATCTTTCTTGGCTCTTCATTAAAACATGGAGGGTTCCAGAGAAGGGTGGGGCCTGTGTAGACTGCAGCCCCAGGGGTCTACACACTCAGACTCCAGCAGCCCCTCAGAATTGCCAGCGAGCCATCCTGTAGTTTAGGACTCTGGTGGTTTCTGCTCCAGGTAAGCTGATCGTGGCTGTGACTCTATTCACCTGTCATTCCAGATTTTGGGGTAGCTGTGGCCCTTTGACCTCAGCTCTCTGATGGGCCCAAGAAAAGCCATTAATTTTCAGTTTGTTTAGCTTTTTTCTTGTAAGGATGGAAATGAAGACTTCAGGTTATTTCCATTGCAGAGCTGGAACCAGAAGTCCTTGCTTGTCTTTTTTATTATTTCTTTGTAATAGTTATTTATGTACGTATTCTGGATATCAGTGCCTTACCAGATAGATGATTTGCAAATATTTCCTTCTATTCTGTGGGTTGTGTTTTCTCTTTCTCAATGGTGTCATTTGCAGCACAAAAGTCAGCCGGTGTATCTGTTTTGTCTTTTGTTGCTTGTGCTTTGTCATGTCTAAGAAACCATTGCCTAATCCGAGGTCACAGAGATTTACACTTGTGTTTTCTTCTAAGTATGTTACAGTTTCAGCTGTTACATTTAGGCCTATGATCCATTTCAAGTTAAGTTTTATGTGTGGTGTCAGATAGGGAGTCCAACTTCAGTCTTTTGCACGGGGACATCCAATTGTCCCAGCGCCATGGTTGGATAGACTGTTCTTTCACCATCGAATGCCTGGTATCATTTTCAAAACTCAGTTGACTGTGAATGCATGGGTTTATTTGTGGACTCGCAGTTCTGTTGTATTGACTTGTACGTCTGTCCTCATGCCAGTGTCACGCTGTCCTGATTACTGAGCTCTGTAGCAAGTGTTGAAATTAGGAGCTGTGCCTCCTCCAAATTGTTTTTTTCTTTCAAGATTATCTGACTGTTCTGGGGCCCTTGCATTTTCAATGAATTCTGAGAGGTTCAGGGATTGTGTCTGAGTTGCATGGCATGTCTATTTGTGACAGAGTTAGGGATGGGAGCATAGTCTCCGTGTCCCAGGTCCTCTGCCACAGTGCATGACATCAGGCATCTGAGGCTAAGTCTCCACACTTGTCGAGGCTCTGTAGATGTCTGTCCTGAAGCGAGGATTTGTGTGCAAGTGAGATGTTCAGGAAGTGTGTGCAGGAGAAATCCCTCCAGGGGTGGGAGAGGCCGGCAAGGGGGGATTTCAGGCAGTGTCCTGTGGAGAACAGCTTCACCTGAGCCTGCCTGGGACTCTGGAGTGGACGTTAGGACTTGGGTGGCCTGCTCTGAGGGAGCTGGGCTTTCGTACACCAGCTCTCATCAGTCACTGGCTGAGGGCCCCTGAGGGACACACATCTGTGGCCTTCCAGCTCTGTGTGTGTGTGTGTGTGTATGTGTGTGCTGAGGGCCCCTGAGGGACACACATCTGTGGCCTTCCAGCTCTGTGTGTGTGTGTGTGTGTGTGTATGTGTGTGTGTGTGTGCGTGTGTGTGTGTGTTGGCAAAGGACTGAAGGGGAGTTGCAGGTGGCCGTCACAAGGAGGAGCATGGACAACGCGTGGGCCTCCTGCTGACAGCACTCGAGTGTCTTGCAGAAAGCGACGTGCATGGCAGCATGCCTCAGTGGTCACCACGGTCCACACTCATGCACAGCCACTTTTTTGGGGTATTTTGGGAGCAGCTCCTTGGGCTTCTGGTGACCTCTCTTCCAGTGACATCTCTTCAGATGTGGAACATCAGGTCACCACAGCCCCTGCCCTGCACTGCACACAGGCCACACCCGACACCCATTGTCACCACTCTCCAGTGCCTGCTCTGCTCCTGTCCACCCTCGTGCCGCAGTTCTGTTGATCTCAGTGTCTCGGTGGCTTGGTCGGCCTGTGCTGTGACTTGACCATCACTCCTGCGTGGCCTGAGCCCTGGTCGCCATTACCTTCTTAGGCCAGGGTTTTATACTTGTCCACTTGTCATCACTGTGAGGCAGGGTGAAGTAAGACACTGCCAGATGAATCGCCTGGCCTGTCTTGGCACAGAAGCCCTGCCTCTTCTGGATGAAGAAGGCCAGTTCCTCCTGCCAGGACGGTGACTTCTTTGGGGGAGGCCATGGTGGCAGGGCAAAGTACTGGCGAGGAGACGGCTATGTGGAGAGGAGGGACCTGCACAGAGAGCTCCGGAGATCTGCAGAGTTGCCCTGGTGTCTTCAACCAGGCCCTGGTCTGTACATGCTGTGGGAGGACACTCCCAAGGCTGGGGAAAGAGCCACCAGACAGAAGCAAGAACAGCTCTCAGAGCTCACACTGGGAATAGTTCATGCTGATAGCATCTGTGACATATGAAAATTGTGGACAGCACCTTTCTGACCACAGCAGGTCCAGCACGTCCCTGCTGGGCCATGCTGCTAGTGACCTGGTTACTGTTCTGAAGCCAGGCGGGCAGGTGGAGGCAGATCTCTAGGAGCCAGTGCGTCCTGCAAGGCGTCTGCTGCGGTTGCGACTCCGCGCCATCTGTGGGGAGGGGCTGCTGTTCTCTAGCAGCAGCAAGGGGCCTCTTCTGCAGCCTCAGTGCATTCAGGGGAATCTCAGGTCAATGCTACCACATGCGTCCGCTCACATGTCCCCTCCCCACTTCAGGCTCCTGCTCCTTCCCTGGCCTTGTGCTGGTGCAGGCGGCTTCCC